AGGAAGTGTCAGGGCAGGACCCGGGAGCTGTCAGAGTGCGGATGGCCTGGGTTCTGTCCACTTATCAGCCACATGACATCAGGGCATTTCATTTACCTTTTCTGAGCCTTATGTCTTCCTCCTTAACATAGGAATAATAGGAAGAACTACCTTCATAGGGTTGCTGTGGGGATTAAACAGAATAAGGCCAATCTGGGGCTTAGCACAGAGCCTGGCACACAGGAAGTGACCAACAATGTTAGCTGTAGTTGCTGAGGTTTGTTTTTGTGATCTGTGCTATTGAGAAGAGAAAGTGAGCACTCTATCACTGGGCATGCAAGCAGCATCTGACCTTACTGATGAACTAATTAGCAAATGGTATATGCTGTACAAGGGAAGATGGATAGAGACCCCACTGGTCTGGCAGTTGCAGACCCCCAGTATCTCTGAGGGGACTGGCAGAAGCTTCCAGGAGCTGGGGGCTAGAGGAGGTCGAAGGGCAGTTCTGTCGGCCAGAAAGGCCTGGCATTCACACAGAAGCTTGGACACCAGCCCAGTGGACGTGGGTCTCTGAGTTGGAGATTGGGCCAGGCCCATGGGATTCCAATGGCACTTGCAGAGAAGGCTCCCAGTTCTAAATAGGAAGCAGAGATACACAGGGAGCCCAGGGACCAGCTTCTGCCCCTTCCTCAGCTTCTTACAAGTTATAAGAATTTGGGGCTTGTAAGGCCTTGATTCCTGACATCAAATGGGCAACGCCATGTGCCCTCCTGCAGGATAGGTGCACTTGCTGTTAGGTAGTGTGCTGTGGACCTTTGTCAGCGCATGGACGCAGGCGGGAGGATGGTGCCCTGCCTGTTTACAGCAGAAACTTTCAGGCCTCAGAATGGTTAAGGTCTGCCCAGGATCCCGGAGCTGGTGGGTAGGAGGGCTGGCTCTGACCCTACACTGTCTGGCTCTGAAGCCTGGACATACAATGACACTGCTGCCTACCTCATGGAGTTATTGTGAAGATGAATGTGACAAAACAGCAGAAGGGCTCTAGAAACTGTGAAGTGCTGTTTAAATGGGAAAGTTCTGTCCTCGCCCCCCAGAGGCCTGCTGGCCCAACTTGGAGCCTAGTCTCCTCAGAGAGAAGGATCGGCCTACCTGGCTCGCCGGCAGCTCCTCATCACTGCTCTCCGAGGACGCCTCGGCGTTCTTTTCTTGGGATGCTGGGCCCAGGATCTTGGTTTTGACGGTTTTGGAGCTACCCTCTTTCTAAGGAGACAAGCACATGGGAGGGAGAGGGGGCGTTAGCTGAGGGAGAGCACAACTGAAGGACTGGGAAACCACAGCCAGTGAGCAATGACCCTCATGCACACTCTCCAGGGAAGGCAGCGTGGCCCCTTCCTGCATGTGCATGGGGGGTATGGCTGCTGGCCCTGTATGCCCCACAGCCACTGGAAACACAGGCTTCTACTCTGCTCATTCTCCTGCCATAGCTGACTCTGAACTTGAAAGGGATGTATGGGTCAGATGCCGCCAAAACCCGAGGAATAAAGTTCTGTTGGCCAGGCATCTGAACGAGGGGTGACAGCAGCCTGAAACAAGGTTGTAGGAGTGTGCCAGTGGCCCTAGCATGGCTCACATCGGGGCTGTAACACCTCAGCAGGCTAAGTGTCCTAATGGCTGCTATCCCCTCCTGCCAGGCCAGGCATAAATGAGCGGGGCCAGAGGAGTGGGAGAGCAGTGAGGAGCAGGCACTGGTGGCGACCAGCTCAGAGTAGCCCAGGGCAGGGCAGAGGGCAGCCCTATGCCTCCCCACTGGAGTGAAGGCCCCATCTTTTGCTATTCAGCTCAGCCAGCAAACTGAGGCCAAGGCTGCTGGAGCCTCCAATTTCTCAAGAGAAGCTAGACGATCCTGATCTATACATGTCACTTCCCAAATTTTGAAGTGGGTCAACTAAAATGCATACTGCAACCGCCATGCCCATGTCTTCCTTGCTAACGGAACCACGTCTCTGTTCTGGTGGCCCTCACCCTAGGTTTTAGGAAAGGTGGCCCCTTCTGCCAACCAATCATAAGAACTGCACCCTTATCAGTGAGTGGCTTTGGTGGAGACTGTCCCTTAGATCTGGACAAGGAGACAGGTGAGGTGAAGTCAGCTGAGGGATTTCCTAGCTCTTTATGAGAGATGCTGCAGCCCTCCTGTGACAATGAAGATAGTGGAGCATAGGGATGGAAGAAATCTAGGTCATCAAGAATGCTGAGCTGAAGGAACCTCTTGTACAGCAGCCTTACCCTGAGACTTGGTGTGCTGTTAGACAACCAACCCCTTTACTACCAAAGCTCTTATGAATTAGGTTTTCTCCTGCTGATAGGGACATCCCGAGGGATATGGCAACTCATTCAAAACTTAAATCATCTCTTCTGGCCTCTCAGAAACCTGTTCTCCAGCTCCATCAGACAGAGCGCTACCAGAACATTCTCCAATAATCCAGTCACCTTGTCTTTCCCTCTAGACTATAAACTCCTTGGGGGCAGGGCCAACATCTTTCATTCCTTTATCTCTATCAGCGAGATGGTGCTCAAGGTTGGCCTGATGCACTAATGCCGAGGTTAGTGCTAGGAGCGTTTAATAGGCTTCTCCGTGCTTGTTTTACTCATGAAGAAAACAGATCTAAGAGGGGATGGAGCGTGGCCTAGCACAGGGATTTCCAGCCTCCCGAGGAATGGAAAGTCTAGCCACACAGAGGGTAAATTTCTGCAAGGTCACAATGGCTGGAGCTGACAGGGACAATCTCTCTAGATGGAGTAAGGGCTCTTTAGTTTGCCACCACTCCCTATGTTCCCTCCTGATGCCAGGGCTCAATGTCAGTTGCCCTATCACCTCTGGCAGCCCTAAGCTGATCGTCTCTGTCACATGCCTGAGCCCTGTGAGCTCCGGAGGTCGTTACCCTGAACCTCTGTAGGACACAGCAGTCCCGCTGCCTTCTGCAGGTGACAGGGAAACCACCAGATAAAAGCTGGTTCTTTGTTCCTTCTCTCTCCCCACCCCGACTTCACACTAAGCTACACAAGCTCTCCCTGGAAAGATGTACATTCCTACGTGAGGCCCCAGACCCAGGATTGGGATGTGACTTCTTCCAGATCCCTAGGGCCTTGTGGCACCTACACTACCATCCAAGCAACCCTCCCCATGAGTCTGACATATTCTTGGCTTCATGTGCCTTGGTGGGAGTTTCTGGCTTAGCCTTCCATGGGACTGGTGTGTCCACTCAAGCTGTGGAGGCCTTGGTAGATATGGGAGTGCAGAGGACACTTCCACTGGGGAGGCCTTAGTTGGGGGGTATTTATAGCAGGTTTCACCTAAGGAGATGTAGAAAGCATCCTGGAGTCAGAACCTTAATCTGGTCATCCTCCCCTACCTGGCCCTGAGCCCAAGTTTCTCAGGTGAGCCCACCTGAGAAAGAGGTGGCCTGACCTTGTAGTTGCTTCCTCATTAGGCCTTACCTGGGCTGGAGTCACAGCTCCTGGCGCCTCTTTCTCATTGTCTGACTCCTCCTCGCTGCTGCTCTCTGAGTCCTTCTCCTGCTTCCTAGCCTGTGTGGCTGTGGGTCCTATCTTCCCAGAGGCCGCTGGGGCAATCCCTTTCTTGGGGGACCCCATGGTGGGGACTGAGGCTGTTCTGATCTTCCTGGTCTTCCCTGAGGGCTTTACCTGGTATGACAGAAACAGAATCAGGAAAAGGAATGCAGAGGGACAGAAGAGTTGGATGGGGCATACATAGCCATGCTGTGGGCAGCTCCTGGCAAGGAGGGGAAGCCAGAGCTGCCACCTGCCCTCCCAGGGCCTCACCTGAACAGGCGCCTCCCCCTCGCTGTCTGATTCCTCTTCACTGCTATCCGAGTCTTCCTTGACTGGCTTTGGCTGGGCCTGGGCTGCTCCGGCCACTGCCTTCCCCATAGCTGGCATGGACACCTGTCCCTTCACTGAGACAGCATTGGTCTGGGAGGTTCTTGCTGGTGGCTTTACCTGAATCAAGAGGAGGTAACAGTATTGGGGAAGGAAGTAGACAGCATAGCTGTTTTTATGTTAAACCCTACCTGTGGTGTGACGGTAAAGAGGTCACTCTCGCCTGTGGCGGGCCCTTGTCCAGGCCCTTGCCCTACTGCCTACTACACCCCCAGCATCTCCTGTTCTAATCCACTTGCTTTGGCCAGGGACCCCCATTTGGCTTGAGCAGCTGCACTAACCACTTTCCCGGGAGCTGATGCTGCCCCTTTGGCTGAAGCCACTCTGGAAGAAGCTGGGTTGGCTTTGGTCTGAGGGGTTTTTGCTGAGGTCTTCACCTAGAAGGAAAAAGAGAATTATGGAATGGAGAAAGTGAGATGCAGTAGAGCAGTCACCCAAGAACGCTGATTTTGGAGTCAATGTCTGAGTCTGGATTCTGGTGCCTCCATGTAACAGCTATGTGAACCTGGGCAAACCATTTGACTTCACTGGGCCTCCGTTTCCTCTTTTGTAAAGTAGGGATAATAATAAAGCCTACCCATGAGGTTATTGTGAGGATTAAATGAGAGATTCACAGTGTTTAACATAGTTTCTAGTACATAATAAGCACTCAAAATTCACTATTGTGACCACTTTTCTCAATGTTAGCTAAGCACAAGACCACCCAGAACACAAGTGTTTTCTAGGCTCCCTTTCAGCTAGGTGGCCATAATTAAGCTCTAGCTAATAGAATGTAAGTCGAGTATACATTCGACTTTCTCACACATGTAAAAAACATGTGTCTTCTTCCTCCTGGCTGGCTGGAATGCTTAGGTAATAGCTGGAGCTTAAGCAGCCATCTTAGTCTATGAGGTGGGAGCCAAGTACTGAGGGTGGCAGAACAAGATAGAAAACCATTGTTGAGTGTTTCTTCAGCTTAACGAAATCTTAACTGATATCCAGGGAATCCCCAAAATGCCCGTCAGGGTCCCCAGCAAATACAGGCCTAGAGAGATGAGAGCAATTAAGAGTGAAATCCTTGACAGGAGTATGAAAGCAAGTCCTGCTAATGTGAAATAGTGCATCTCAAGGCCCTTGCCTCAGCCAGGGCCAAACTGTCATTTGATCAGTGCCAGAAGAAATCCTCCACACCCCGGATTCCCTCACCCACATGAGAACAGATGAAATTAAGAATTAGGACTTAAGTCATCCAGAGGGGATATCTTTTACATAGACAAAAGACACTAAGGCTAACCTGTCTCAACCAGTCTCATATCTGACCTAACAAGTCTCAACAAATTTAAAAGGACTGAAATCATGCAAAATATGTCTCCAGCAGAAAGAAATCTGCCAAATCCGATATTCGATAATTAACCCACAGTTCAAAAAATACAAATAAAAACATTTCAAATTTCATGGGATGAAGCTAATGCACTCCTCAGAGGAAAATTTATAGCTTTATACATTTATGTTAGAAAAAAGCTAAAATCAAAAATTTTAATTCCACCTTAGGAAGAAAAAGAAGAGCCAATCAAACTCAAAGGAAGGAATAATAAATATCAGAGTGGAAATTAATGAAACAAGAAAGAGGAAAATGATAGAGAAAACTCAATGAAACCAAAAGTTGTTTCCTTGGAAAGAACAGAATTGGTAAGTCTTTAGCTAGACTGACCAAAAAATAGGACAAGACACAGTTACCAAAAATCAGGAAAGAAAGAAGGACTTCACTACAGACTCTACAGAAATTAGAAAGATTATAAGGGAATATAATGAATAAATTTATGCCAACAAAGTATACAACTGAAAGAAATTTCTAGAAAGGCACAAATTATTAGCTGTGCACAAAATTATTAAAAGGCACAATTAATAAACTGGTTCAAGAAGGAAAAAATCTGAATAGACCAATATTATTTAAAGAAACTGATTTAATAACTAAAAATGCCGCCTTCCCCCCAAAAGCCAGGCCTACATGGCTTCATTAGAGAATTCTATTAAGAAAGAAATAATAGCAATCCAACACAAACTCTTTCAGAAAACAGAGGACAGAATGCTACCCAACTCATTCTATGAGGCCAGTATCACCCTGATACTAAAGCCAGGCAAAGCCATCATAAGAAAATAACAGATCAATATCCTTTATGAACACAGATAGATAAAAAAATCCTTAACAAATGATCAGTAAACCAAATTCAGCATTACAATAGAATATATACCATGACCAAGTGAGATTTACCCCCAAAATAAAAGGTTGATTTAATACCTGAGTATCAATTAATGAAATATATGAATAGAACAACAAAACAAGGTTACTTCAATAGAGCAAAAGCATTTGACAAAAATCTAACTCCAACTGATGATAAGAACTCTCAACAAACTAGGAAAAGAAAGACACTTTCTCAACCTGATAAAAGGCATCTACAAAAACAAAGATAACATCATACTTAACAGTGAAAAGCTAAATGTTTTACACCTAAGATTGAAAACAAAGTAAGGACATCTGCTCTCACCACTACTATTCAACATTGTATTGGAGGTTCTAGTCAGTGTAATAAGGCAAGAAAAAGAAATAAAAGACATCTAGATCAGAAAGAAAAAAGTAAAACTGTCTTTATCTGCAGACAACATGGATGTCTACATTATCTACAAAAGCCACTAGAACTTATAAAGTGTAAGAATATCACAGGATAGAAGATCAACATACAATACAAGGTTAGGCCCAGAAGGTACCCTACCAGTTATTCAGCCATTCTCACACAAGGGCCATCTTCCTACGACATTTAAATCCTGAATCATCTCCTTCCTGAGTCTCTGGCATATTTGATTTTCTAGAACCAATCCTCTCGTCTTGGCTTTTTTGTTTTGAATCTTGACTCCCAAATGGTTTACACTGAGCTGGCTGGGTGTCTCTGAGCAGATCAGAGATGCTATCAAACTCATTTCTGGCCCCAGCAAAGCAGGGCAGTGATACCCAGTTAGCATGCACAGTATTTTGAGGGTGAGATCATACAAGTATTGTCTCATTTAATCCTCATCATAATCACACAACAGAGGCATAATTACTATTCTCATCCTTCAGATAAATACAAAGGAGGTGGTCGACAAGACAACTATCAGCCCTACTTGTTTTAGCAGAGGCTCTTCAGACCTCTTGAAGTGAGAAAAGCCATCGTATTCTGACAGGGCATCAGGCTATAAGGCTAAACCCCTAGAGAGGGATTAGCTGTTCTATTTTTCACCAAGAGAAAGTAAGGCCCCAAAGCATAACCATTCTTGTGGATGGAAAAGTTCTGGCTAAGGAAGCAGAAGGAAGTGGGAAAGGCAAAAGGATTTTGGGGCAGGCACTCGGGGACACTGGCCTCGCTCTGACCCTCACTGGTGGCTGAGCTGAAGCAAGGTACCGAACTCCTCTTAACTCTCATTTTCTCTTCCAGAAACATCGCGAATGAACACTCATGTCACGGTACAGGTGGAGGCACGGATGGGAAGATGAATATTTAAGTGATCAACATCCTGAAACTTTTAAGGCATTGTTCTGGAATGCGCCTGTGGCTTGGAAAAAAGGGAAGGAGCCTGGTAGGTTGGGACTCTGGGAAGGCCCATGCAGTTTTAAACCTCAACAGAGGAATCATAGGATCTTGGGTCCCATAAGGTAATAGTGAGAGGGGGACCAAAAAAATCCATAGAAATGTGTGCTCTGGTATAGGGAAAATAGAAATGACTAATTTCTGAGTAGTTATTGAAAAAAAAGCAACAATTAAAAATAATAAATGGTGGGTGGGTGAGTGCAGGAAATGAGCTATCCTCACTTTTCCCCGTTCTTCCAAGCTTGATTCTGTTGTGCAGCTCGCCTTCAGGGAGATGAGGGCCTGCTGTGTGCAGACTCCTTGCTGGGTGTGGAAGGAGAGATCCTGTTAAATCCTCAGTCCTATGAGGAGGGTTGATTTTTCAATTTACAGAAGAGTAAACAGGCCTCCATGGGTTACATCATTTTTTAGGGACTTGATTCAAGGCAGTCTGGCTCCAAACTCCCTGCCATTCACCCATCTCATACCACGCCATCTCCCCAGTGATCCCACCAGGATGTCCTGCTTGGGGCAACCCACCTAAGCCAAGCACTCTTCCTCCCTCTGGACTTTGCAAAGAATACAGTTTAGATGTCACTTCCTCCAAGAGGTCTTCCTTCCTGAAAACTCCTAGACACTGCCATGCTCTGCTAACCCAAGTATACACCCTCTACCTCGGCCCTATCACACAATGCTAGAATAATCTGTGTACGTGTCCATGCCCCCCACCCCCACCCCTCCTTCTAGGCCGAGAACTTCCTGAGAGCTAGGGCCAAGGAACTGTAGGCAGGAGAGCACCTGGCAGACAAGGTACTCAACAGAACCTATGGAAGCATAAGGAGTCTCAGTGGGAGCTCACAAGGCCGTGGAGAAGCCCTAGAGCTCTGATGGGCAGGAGACAGAGAGAAAAGGGGGGATGAGGCTGAGCTGAGGCTGCCCCTGAGACTTCTGTACACCTGGGGACAACAGCAGTCCTGGCAAGCCCACCTTCAGCCGTGTCTCAGGCACTGAAGTAGGTGGGATGGGCTGGCTTCTCCTAGGCCTCACCTGTGCTGGAGCAGCCTCCTTGCCATCTGATTCTTCCTCACTGCTCTCTGAGTCTTCGTGCGTCTCAACTTTGACCTGGGCCACAGAAGGCGCTGCCTTCCCAGGGAGTACCGGGGTGGTCCCTTGCCCTGAAGGCCCCTTGGTGGGTGCTGAGGCAGCTTTCGCTGGGAGGCTTTTCCTCACAGACTTCACCTAGAATGACATGGAAGAGAGGTATGTGACAGGAGCCCAAAGGACCATACGAGGGCTGGCTCTGAGTCAGCCAAGCACACCTGGCCTCACCTGTCCCCCTGCTGTGGCAGGAGCTGTCTCCTCCTCACTCTCTGACTCCTCGCTGCTTGACGAGTCTTCCTCTGGCCTCTGGGTGCTCCTGGCCACAGCTGGGGATGACGTGCAGGCTGGCGAATTTGCTGTTCCTGCTTTCCAGGGGGCTGGTGTGCCCACTCGCACTGGGGGGACCTTGGCAGATGCAGGGGTGACAGGGATGCCCTTCCTTGGGGAGGCCTTGGCCTGAGGAGTTTTCACAGCCAGTTTTACCTGAGGGGACACAGAAGTGAGAAGCTGGAGAAGGGTCCTGGATTCAGAACCCCCATCTCTTCTGGAGTGAAACCCCACTGCTGTCCTTCCCCATAGCTCCCTGTGGTGGAGTTGACCAGTGGGGGCAGCTAAGGTCAGGCTACCCCTCCTGAGGCCTTATCAGGGACCTCACCTGGGCTGGAGTCATGGCTGCTGATGCCTCCTCCTCACTGTCTGACTCCTCCTCACTGCTCTCCGAGTCTTCCTTGGACCTTTCGATCTTGACCTGGGTGGCTGCAGGACCTGTCTTCTGAGGGGTGTCCTTGGTGGGACCTGAGGCAGGTCTGATCTGGAGAACTTTCCCCGAGGATTTTGCCTGGAATGACACACAGGATCAGGGGAGAGAGCCCAAAGCATGGCTATGTGCAGTGACACAAGAAACTGAGGGGCCAGTCATGAGGTATACATAGAGAGAGGGCTCCTAGCACTGAGAGGGAGACGAGAGCCTTACAGGCAGGTAGCCTCACCCGGGCCACAGCAAAGCTGCTGGCACCGCCCCCTTGCTGCTGCTCTCTGAGTTCTCCTGCTTCCCAGCCTGGGCCAAGGTGGCTGCAGACCCTGCCTTCCCAGGGGGTGCTGGGACAGTGCCCTTCCCGTAGGGCTCCATGGCCATAGCTGAGGCGGCTCTGACCTGGGAGTTTTCCCCCAAGGGCTTCGCCTGGGCGTGACAAATAACAGCATCAGGGCAAGGGCCTACAGGTGGAATGTGTGTGAGGTAAGACAGGAGGTGAGGAGGGCATGGGGGGGCGGTGGGCTCTAGGTTAGGGGGGTAGGATAAGCCCATGGGCAGCTCTGCAGCCAGGATAGAGACCATTCAGTGTCCTCCAGCCTCACCTGAGCCGGGTTTGTGGTAACAGGCACTGCTGCTGGCGCTGCCCCCTCACTGTCCGACTCCTCGCTGGTGCTCTCCGAGTCCTCCTCCTGTCTCCCTGCCTTGGCCTGGGCAGCCGCAGGCACTGCCTTCCCAGGGGGAACTGGGGTCCCCCCTTTCCTGGGGGACTCCTTGGCAGTGGCTGAGGCCGCTTTGACCTGGAGGGTTTTCCCAGACGGCTTTGCCTAGAGCGAGAGAAACAGAATCAGGGGTGGTAGCCCACAGGGTGACATGAGAAGATACAGAAGACCAGACAGGGCCAAGGGCACCACACACACCACATGGTGAGAGGAGGGGGCAGGGCTCTGAGCATGCCTGGGGCTCTCGTGAAGTCTCGAGGTGTTCCAGGAGGGGCAGGCTGCACGGGCTCTCCTTCCCCAGGCCTCACCTGAAGCGGGGTCTTGGCAGCTGGTGCCTCCTCTTCACTGTCCGACTCCTCGCTGCTGCTCTCCGAGTCCTCTTTCTGCCTTCCTGCCTTGGCCTGGGCAGCCGCAGGCGCTGCCTTCCCAGGGGCTGCTGGGGTGGCTCCTTTCCTGGGGGACTCCCTGGCAGTGGCTGAGGCAGCTTTGACCTGTGGGGTTTTCCCAGACGGCTTTGCCTGGAGTGAGAGAAACAGAGTCAGGGGAGGCAGGCAGCTCAGAGGGTGATGTGAGGAGGTACAGGAGACCAGACAGGGCCAAGGGCACCATGCAGCGAGAGGTGAGGGCAGGGCTCTGAGCAGGCCTAGGGGCTCTGGCTGAGCTAGAGAACAAGTCTTGAGAAGGCCTTCCAGAAGGGGCACAGGCTGCACGGGCTCTCCTCCCCAGGCCTCACCTGAAGCGGGGTCTTAGCAGCTGGTGCCTCCTCTTCACTGTCCGACTCCTCGCTGCTGCTCTCCGAGTCCTCCTCCCGCCTCCCTGCGTTGGCCTGGGCAGCCACAGGCCCTGCCTTCCCAGGGGCTGCTGGGGTGGCTCCTTTCCTGGGGGACTCCTTGGCAGTGGCTGAGGCAGCTTTGACCTGTGGGGTTTTCCCAGACGGCTTTGCCTGGAGTGAGAGAAACAGAGTCAGGGGAGGCAGGCAGCTCAGAGGGTGATGTGGAGATACAGGAGACCAGACAGGGCCAAGGGCACCACACACACCACATGGTGAGGGGAGTGGGCAGTGCTCTGAGCATGCCTGGGGCTCTCGTGAAGTCTTGAGGCGTTCCAGGAGCGGCAGGCTGCACGGGCTCTCGTTCCCCAGGCCTCACCTGAAGCGGGGTCTTTGCAGCTGGTGCCTCCTCTTCACTGTCCGAGTCCTCGCTGCTGCTCTCCGAGTCCTCCCCCTGCCTCCCTGCCTTGGCCGGGGCGGTTGCAGGCCCTGCTTTCCCGGGAGGAGCTGGGGTGCCCCCTTTCACAAGGGTCCCCTTGGAAGGACCTGAGGTAGCTCTGACCTGGACAATTTTCTCTGAGGCCTTCACCTAGTAAAAGAGAAAAGGCAATTTGTTCCCTTCTTCCTAAAAACCCTGTGGCGATACCTTCAGGATAAAGCCGAGGCCTTAGTGGGGTTCTCCAGACCCCCTGCTTTTCTTCTCACTCCAACCTTGACTGGTGCTCTGACCTGACCTATCAGCTCCACTCTTTCATTCCTGAAGCCTTCGCACCCCGTCCTCTCATCTTGATACCACTGCCTCATCCTCTGGATTCCAGGAAGACACCAGTTCCTTATGGCATTTCTTCTCCCTGACACTCCTGCACTTGTCCCCACGGTTGCCCTGCACACAGGTGTTATTGCCTGTCCCTGGCTGGGCTGCCCCATCAGTGAGAAAGCTCTGTGAGCATAGGCACTGCGAATGGCCAACGCACTGCCGCACCCTTAGTACTGCCGGCCCCAGTGCATATGTGACTGGGATCAGAGGAGGGAGTATGCGAAGGTTCAGAGGGAGGGAGGAATAGGAGGCGTCTGGATGTGGAGAATGGAGAGGCAGTCCGAAAGTGAAGGGACAGAGTGAGGCCCTCTCTGAGCCTTCTACAGATGAACAGCAGGAAGACCCTTGGGAAGCCTGTCCTAGCCTCATGGGGCAAGCTCCCGAGGGCCTGGGCCTCCTCCTCACTGACCCACTGACTCCTCAGCCTCTGCCCATGGCCTTACGGCTGTGGCAGGGTGGCTACAGGCCCTGTCTTCCTTAGAAAGGTCACAGCTGCTTGGCCCTGGGCCGATCACCCCCAGAAAATCAGTGATTCTGATCACTTTCCTTCTAAAAACCTTCCCAAGCAGAGGGTACAGGCTGCTTCAGATAGGCTTTGTATGGCTTGCACATTCAAATTTTTGAACCAATATGGAGAAAGGAGATTTTAGGTAAATGTTCACATTTGGGCTCCTTCTGAAAAATGGGTGCCAGGCAACACAGGGGAGCCCCTGGGCACAGCAAAACTGACCAAGCTGGAGAGCAGCGGCCCGCTGCAGTCAGGGTCTGCACACTCTGATCTGCCACTTCTCATTCCCACACCCGTGTCAGCGCTTTGGCACTTGCTGTGCTCCCTGCCTGGAATGACCTTCCTCCAATGTCCACAAGGCGCATGGTTCCCTCCCTCTTCTCCCGCAGGACTTCAAGTTTTCACTCAGTCTCCTCCTCACAGCCTTCCCCTGAGCACTCTGTTTAAAAGGCCACGCCTACACTCTCCCCACCTCACTTTCCTCCTTTCACTAACACCTAGTGAAGCTGATCTTACTTATGGACCATTTCCCACTTAACGAGCCCTGCTGATCTTACTTATGGACCATTTCCCACTTAACGATCCTGCCCCCCGGCCTGCGTGTGGGGTGGGACCTCCGCTCCTGGACCTTTCCTGGACCTTACCTGGGCGGTCGCAGGGCTGCCGGGGCCTTTTAACACCACTGTCTGACCTTCCTATTCCCACTTTCCTCTCTGCTTCCAACAACTTCCCAGCCCCTCTGGATTTCCCTCGAGATACTCCCAGAGCCTCAGGGGCTGCAGCTCCGACCACATGGCCAGCAGACAGAAGGTAACCAAATTCCTGTTAGCTAACAAGCTATGACCTGGCCCGAGAAGCCAGAGGACCAGGCATTTAAAACTTCTCATGTCCTTTCACAGCAGGACTAGCTGAGATGAGAAGAGCAGCCGATTTACTAGACAGAAAAACTGAGGTAAAGGGGAGTAACTGAGAGTGGAGCACAGGACCACACTCTGGGAAGCAGCCATCCTAGGCTGCTGCTTGGGTGGGAAGGGCCATTTCCACAGGTGGCTAGAGTAGGCCCAGCTGCCCTTGCCCTTCAAGTTGCATAGCCCAGGTCCCTTTCCCCAAACTCTAAGGTGACTCTTTTCAGGCAGAGGAGGTGCTCATTACGAAGCTACTCTGCCAGTCTCTGAGGGCTCTGGGAGAGTCCCAGGCTGCTGGGGGACCAGAAGACCCCGAGGGGCAGCCCTCACCTGGCCGGGTTTCCACGCAGGGGCCTCTTCCTCACTCTCAGACCCCTCCTCACTGCTCTCCGAGTCCTCTTCTGGCTTCTTGGCCTTGTCAGCTGAGGTCTGGGCACCTCCTCTGACTTGAGGTGTCACATTCTCTGCCTTCCCAGGAGTCGGAGCTGCCCTTTTTCCTAGAGATTCCTTGGCAGGGGCTGGGAAGGCTTTGACCTGTGGTGGTTTTACTGAGGGTTTCGCCTGGAACAAAAGGATGGAATTAAGGAAGGAATAACAATCCTTACTCCAGGAAGGCATAAGAAGCTTCATGGTTTACAAAGTCCTTTCCTGATGCCTTTGACTCTCAAATGACTCCCGGAGACTGATACCACCTTTCTGTCCATTTTACAGAAAAGGGGCTCGGAAAGGTTAACTCACTCAGGACGATATGAAGGGGCAGAGCCATGACTGGAACCCATGTTGGTGGGGTTTTGGGGGCAGAACTCCCACCTACTGCTTCTCTGCCACCTGGCACACAGGGTCCAGCACAAAGAGGCAGCCTCTCTCCATAAGGAAAGCCACCCTCATCTGCTTCTTCAATGACAGTATCTGATCATGGTGGCCATCCTGAGGGCCAGGAGGCCAGAATCTCAGCGCCCATCTTGCTGAGACACTCTGGGCACATTCCTCTCTGGGCTCTTTCTTAAACTTCTGAAAGTCTGACATTTCCAAGGCAGGCAGTGCCCTACCTCTACCTCTTATCAGTGAGCCCTCACCTGACCCTGGGTTTCTGGGACAGCCACCTCCTTATCTCAAGCTCCTTACTGCACTGGCCTCTGGCCCACTGATGCCACGTGTTTAACTGCTGGTTTCCCAGGGCACCCTTATGGCTGGATGTATCTAGGACCCAAAAGGGAAAACAGAATGCAGGGTGCACCTGCAGCCTGGCCTGGGGTAGGGGTGAGGTCTCCGCCTTCATGGGTTACTGGGTAAGGCAGGAAGAGAGGTGGGAAGAACTCTGGGCAACAGATCAATCCATCCCTGAATTATGCTGGTTCTCTCTCCCGACATCCTTCTACTGGGTACCCTGGTGCCGGCCGCTAGCAGCTCCTGCCAGCATTCTTCACATTCCCTCAACAGTCTCACTACTTTCATTCTGTCCTCCAATTCAGGCCGCAGCAAGTGAACTTTATGAAACATAAATCTGGTCATCTTACCTCCGTGCCTGAAACCTTACAATGGCTTCTCAGAGCCCCGAGAATAAAATCCAAACTCCTCCTGGTGGCCCTCATGGTCAGGTAGTGGATCTGGACCCAGACTACCTCTGGCCTCATTTTATATCTCTTTTCCCCTCATTCATGAAGTTGTAGCTCAACGATGGAGACTCTGTCTCCATCTCTGCTCATGATGTGCCTCTGCTGACATCACATTACTGTTACTGCACCTCATGGCTCTCTATGCTTCCCTTTCATAGTAACCATTACCACTGTAGTTAAATTTCTGAGGGACTCTCCACTTTCCCTCAGCAGCAGGAACCCTGACAATCTTGCTCACCACTGTACCCAAGGCCCGGCACTTGGCAGATGCACAGTAAGAAATGACTCCCTAGTCACAGTTCAGAGAAGAGACAAGGCCACAGACTAAGACCTTCCCACCTCTGGCCAAGGGCCAGGCTTGGCATTCGCCAGCTGGCCTATAACCCCCTCAGCAGCCTCATGCCATTCACCCCAACAGCACCACAGGATGGCCGCCCTCCTGTCCCTGGGCCTTTGTTTGTGCAGCTATCCCTGCTTAAACACCCTTCCCCCTACATCCCTTCCTGGTGAAGGCCCCTGTGTGTTAAGACCCTGCTCTAATGCCACCTCTCCTGGAAGCCCTCTTTTGCCTCACAGACAGGATGGTCTCTCCCCCTCAACCCCAGACCCTTTTAACACCCAGAGTGCATTGAGTGGCACCTGGCTCTTCTACCCTCTCCTCCCTTCCCTAGGCCTCAGTCTTTCCAGCTTCCAGTCACCCTGAAACACTTGCTGAACTGATCTGGTCCCATTGGTGTGTGAAGCCAGACTCAGGGGAGGGTTAAATTTGCAGAGGGCAACTCCTGAGGATGGGTGGCAATTACCTCCATGTCCGTCTCATCACTCGAGCTAGAGGTGTCCTCACTGGAGCTGGCGACCTGGCCTGCCGATGCCATTCCTGAGGGATGAACAGGGAGGGCGCTGAGGGCCACTCTTCTCAGACCCACCTGCACTCTGCATACCAACTAATCAGAGCCAGGCACTGAGTGCTCACACCTTGCTTCAGCTTCACTGTCCGGTGAAGCGCCACAGTGGAGGCACATACCACTTATCCCTATGTTCCTGCAGACCTCCGAGGCCCTGGTAAGGGCTATAATAGGTCCTAACACACATGCGCCAACACCTGATGGCTTAGAAAATCTCCTTCCGCCATCACACCAAGGCAGGCAGGGTAAATGCCTATTGTTTATGAGAAATAGAGGCAAACCCAGGCCTCTCAGTTTGGTCTCTAAGCCTCTGAGGTGGGCCTTATATCCACCTGAGAGCAATAAACCAGAAAATGCTCCATCACCACCCAGGCTGTTCAACTCCCCTGGCAAAAGCGGATGTGTCCCTGCCACTGACTCCCCCTCATCGAGCGGAGGGGAAAACGGTGAAGTGAGGGGTGGGGGAGGGCTCATTGCCTTGGAGACAAGCCTCTGAATTCCAGAATTTCCCAGACCTTGAAGAAGTAGTGCCCAGGCCTGCCCGCCCCCAAGCCCACACTGAGGGGGTTCTCACCAGGCTTGGCAGTGGTTCCGAGGGCCGGGACGCTGCCTTCCTCCTCAGTTTCTGAGACCAGAATGGTATTTGCCGAGGGCCCTGACGACTTTCTGGGTGACTTCCCAGAGAGGAGGTGGGCCACTGTCTTCCCAGAGGCAGGGTGTGGTGTGGAGTTCACTGTCTTGTTGACGTTCTTGGTCTTTGCCTACAGAGAACGAGTGGCAGGCACATTTGGGTATAGCCTGGTGAACAGGGACTACATCTGAATCCAGCTCTACCACTTTCTAGCTGTGTGAGTCTGGCATTTTACCTCCCTAGGTCCGTTTCCTCATCTTTAAAGTAGGGCTAAAAAACCCTCACAGAGCTGTGGAGAGAACCAAGTCACCATTCTTGGGACACAGCTGTTATTTGCTAAGTGGCTAAGTAGCAGTTTGTTGTGGTTATTGTCATTATTCCAGAATTATGCTTACATTCCAGATAACTACAGGATACAATCCTTTACGTCTGTAACACTGCATTACGGATTACCAGAAAATGATTTCAGTCTAGTAGTTTCCAGTCTAGAAAATACTTTGAGAGCTTTTAGAACCGCAAATGTCTTGATCAGTATGGTGTCTCACTGCCTCATCACACAGGGCTCAGAACATAACTGTATCGGCATAAGTGTGCTGAGGGAACTGGTAAATGCGGGACGGAGGAGAAAACACCTGTTCCAGGTATATAAGGTGCCCACTGACCATGGCAATAGACATCACCCCATCTTACAGAAAAGGAAACTGAGGCCCAGAGAGGTGAAGGGACTCACCAAGATCACAAAGCTGGTGACAGGCTGACATGTGAATTTAGGTTGGATAATTACCCACAACCCTACCCTTCTCTAACGCAAGAGACTGTCCCTTACAGGGTACTTCAATTCCCAGGAGTAACAGCCTGGAATGTGGTCCCACTCACCTTGGCCTTTTCTTTCATGCTTGATGGCAAAACTGCCTCCACAGCTGAGGAGTTGATAGATGTTAGTCTGGGGGCTGCAAGACAAACATCCACTGGATGAATCAGGTGAGCCTTTTCTCACTTAAGAACAGCAGATAGGTTTCACCTCCCCTAACAATTCAACTGGTATGGCTGCTTGGTGCTGGATAAGGATTTGAGGCTGAGACCAGACTTGTGGGATAAAGCTCTTCGGTGTATTGGCCACATCCACCAGGAGCAAGAGAGAGAGCAGCAACATGAAAGCCACATGTCTGCTTTCCCGTTGGAATCCCAACTCCCTGGTGGCATGAGACACTGAGGCCCCCAGAGGAAAAGGATTGGCTCACAGTCCTGCCTGCTGCAAGCTACATGAAGGAGCTACGCAACTCCGGGGATGCCATTCCCACAGGCTACTACCTGCAGCCCTGAAAGTCACTTAGATGGTGAGATTTCTAGGTTCTTGGTGCTTTGACACCAGAGTATTCTCTCCTTCGATCTCAGATAGAAAGATTTTTAAGGTATGCTATGAAATAAAGAGGATGCTATTGAGATGAATGGCATGATCTAATTCTTTTCCTGACATTTAACTCCATCTCTTTCTCAATCATGGAAAATTTTAAGCACATTCATTAAGTAGAGAGGAAGTCAACTGAACCACCCAGCTCCAACCATTATCAACTTGTGGCCAATTTTATTTCAACGGTGCTCACTTGCCCTTCCCCATCGAGGAGTATTATAAAGAAAATACAGACATCATATGTTGCCTACATATATTTCAGCATGCTTCCTTTGATAAGGAGTCTCTTAAAAAGAATTACAATTTTACTATTACAGCTTTAAAAATTCAATATTGAGTAGACAGTCAGTAGGAAATTTTACAATTTTTGTTTTAAATAGCATGAATATGCATGTATGCATACATGAGTGGTTACCTATATGGCTATAAACGCAAAAGAGAAAGTTTTAAGGTTACCCACCAGCAGATACTTTTAGAAAGTGAAAGGGGATCAGGATGGAGAAGAGAAACCTACCATTTTTCTTCTGTATGCTTTTGTACAGATCAAAGTGAACTTGTTTTACGTTTATAATTTTAAGATTAAATAAGATATAAAATATATGTTCAATATGGTCACAGCTCTTTTAAAAACATGTCTGGGAAAAATAAATGGAAGAAGAATTTGCCAGGTTGTAGGCAGCAAGAATATGGGTATTTTTCTGCTTTTTAAAAAAATAATTTTCATATATTCCATAACGAATACTCCATAATGAATCTGTTTCTTTTACAATCAGAAAATATATTTACAAATCAAGAGATTACTTTCAATGTAAGCAAAAAACAATACGGAGCAGAGAAGAATGACAATTCCTTTGTAGAATTACGACTACTGCTGGTTAAAGCACAAACTGCCCTGAGAGCTTGGGAAGAGGGAATGTGAAGGCCTCACTGGGTCACCGCTGAAACCAGAGTGCCCAGGACAGCCTCCCAGAACTAATGTGTACACATCAAAATGATAGGAAGATCAGCAACTCCCGAAGCAACCCATAGGCCATACAGAAGAGGTGCCCGTCAGCTGCCCTCTCTGATCTAGCAGTTCCAGAAACGTGGGCTTCCTTCCACCTTTACCACAATCACCTGGGGGCTTGTAAAAATGCAGCTCCTAGGCCCCATTGGAGGGGCTGACTATAAGCACCTGTTTGGGTTTCTGTTCACAATTGGATCCCCGACAACTGGAAATGCAATGTTTTTTGCACAAACGAAGGGCTCAAATAAATACTGAAATAGATATATGGGCCCTTCCGATCTTCCCCCTAAAAGGTCCTGGTCTTCCTGGGGCTCAGTGAAGAAGCTGGAGGTAGGCGCCCCCCTGCGACAATCCCGTATCTAAAAGCCTGTTCCCAAAAGGTGCCGGACCCTGGGCTGAGCCCCCACAAGCACCAATGATGGGGGCCCAGCATGGAGGGCTCTTACCAGCTTTGGTGGTTTCGGCTTCTGCCTCCTCCTCCTCTTCTGAGCTCTCCGAGCTGCTAATGGGGTCTGACACACGGGTCTTCTTGGCCTGCAGTGCTGCATCTTCCTCTGCTTTCCTCTTCTGGCCAATCACTGAGGTTCTGCAGGACAAGGGTGACTGGCTATACCGACCGGATGACAAGGACAACTCCAGGAGACTTAAAAAGAAAGACCTTCCCACATCCTCCCACCCCTCGAAAGGAAATATGCATAAAGAGAGCATATTTAAACAGCAATGAAGATACAGTGTAGATATAATTTTGCACTCATATTCATTTCATAAAATGTTTTTACAACTGTCTAGCAGTCTTCAAAATAATCAGGAATGGTCAATAACAGTAGCTAACAGGCATAGAGTGATATGTACCAGCACCTGCAGGCACTTCACAGAGCCATCTAGGCTCCTCCCTCCTCCAGACCTTTAGGCACCTGCAGCGTCCTCTTTCTGGAAGACTCTGCCCAGGTCCTTCATGCCCTTCGGGCCTCAGCTCCAATACAGCCTCCCTGACCACTCCTTCCCCAAAGACATTCTCGGCCCTGTCATCTTGTTTCATTTTCTTCAGAGTACTTTTCTCTCTCCTGTTATTTTACTTCCTGCCTGATGCCTCCACTACACAGTAAGACGCAGAGATGGGGGAAGGGCTGGTGGAAATCTTTTACAGAACACTAAAGTATCCTTTGCACAGAGCATGCTTCTCAAAAAATGAATGAGTAAGCGACTTGCCCAGCGTCAAAGAGTAAGTTTGGGGGCATTGGTGGAATAAGCACTCAGATGGCCGAGTCCCTGGAACTTTCAAGTATCATCTCCTTTGACCCTGACCCTCCCACCCTGAGTTGCTGCTGTCTATGTCCCATGTTCTGCAGCTGCAACAGACATCACTGTGCCACAGTTTGTTTCCCCTGATTTCCAGGAAGGTCACTTGTTGGGACTCTCTTGCTAAAAATAGGTTTTCTTTATTACATGTATGAATTGTTATGCTTCCTTTTCCCAAAAGAATATAAGTTTCACAAGGGCAGGGATTTTTCTCTGGTTTGTTCTCAGTCAAATCAAGAACAGTCTTGATTTGAGCACACAGTAGGTGCTCAATAAATACTGGGGGAGGGGAACATTTCCAAAGGCCAAGTTTAGCACTTTATTTACTATTCTTATCTTCACTTTACAGATGAAGGCAGACTCAGGGAGGCCAAGTTCGTTCAAGGTCATACGGATGGTTGTTGGGTTTGAATTTGCTGGAAACCAGTAGGTTAGGCTGCGTCTGGTGGGTATGAGGTTCTCGTCCCACTCAGTACCATTTACCCATAGAAGGAACCAGGGGCAGGAAAGAGTTGGTACAGCTCACTGAAGTGGTTCTCTGGGGAGGGAAGTGCTGTGAATAACACTCAAGACACCTGGGCGAGTCGGAAAGGGTGAAGAAGAGGAAGTGTGTGGTGTGCTCCGTCCTCGCTTTAACATCAGAATCAAAACTGAGAGCTGATGGGGCTTTCAAAGATCTTAGCTCTCTATTGGAAGCTGGGATCTCTTCTATACCATTCCTGCCTTTGCTTACACACCTCTGATGACAGGGAGGCTCACCACTTTCACTGTAGCCTACCTCGTTTTTGATGACTAAGTGCTTGTAATCAGAAGCTGAAACCTGTCTTCCTAAAGCAGGTACATACAGATCCCACCTCAGTCTCTCAGGGCCCCAGAGAACACGCGACTCCCTTTGTCCTCAGAGATGTGCACACTGTGGTCCCTCACCTCTCCCTTTGCCATCTCTTTCCATCCTGAATGAGTTGGTTGGCTCCATCATTCCTCATGGGGCATGACTACAGGTCCTTCATTCCCCTACTTGGCTGTGGCCAGGCCAGCGCATGGAGAGAATACCATTATCCTCTCCTTCATTCTCAAACCACTCTTCTGTTGATATGGATTATTTCCCCTTCCTTGAAAAGTATTTAAGTTCTACATGTTTTACAGGCATTTCACACTCAACATGTCCTTGAAATCTTTCCCTCCAAATCAGGCTCCCTTCTAGCTCCATGCACACATAAGCCAAACACCTGGAAGTCGACTACACTGCCTCTCCAATCCATCCACAGATCCTACTTTCATCCCTGAAGATTCCTGGAATCTACTTCTGCCTCCTGTTATTCCTGTCTCAAGTCCCATCAGCTCTTGCCTGGATAATGATGTCACAGTCCCAATCAGTCTTGCCAGGCTGCAGACCGATCTCACCATTCTGCTTCACCCTTCCATGGCTCCCACTGCTCTTGGGGTAAAGATACAACTTCTTACTATGGATGATCAGGCCTTGCATGGGATAAGCCCTGCAAACGGCCCAGCCTCATCTCTAATGTGCCCACAGCTACTGGCCTCAGAACCAGCAGTTCCCTTTGAGAGGTACATTCCACTTGTTTCTCCTTACCAATTGCCTAGTTCATATTCATACTCCATGCAGCTCTCAAATCAAAGGTCACCTCAGGGATGCTTCCCCTAAAACCCCAAAGGAGGTTTATGTGGTTTTGGTACCAGGTACCTCCTTTTCATAATCCTTACTACTGTAATTTTGTATTCGTTTGTTTTATTTTCTGATGGATGCCTACCTCCCTGACTTCAACGTCAACTCCAGGAAAGTAGGAACCATGTCTGTCTCACTCATGACATCTCCATGCTTAGAACAAAGCCTGGCATTTGAGAAGTGCTCAATGTTTGCTGACTGAATAACAAACTGCTAAGAAGCTTTGGTCATTATTCAGTACTGATCACAACTCTCAATGTCCTCTCCCACTACCAGACACCCATAATGTGACCTGGCTTCCTGGGGGCAATAATGGTGTCCGCAGTGGGCTATGGGGACAGATCTTAGACTAGATTAGCACCCTAGGTTATTCCAAGCTAATAGCTTAGGGTGTTCCTACTCCACACCTTCAGCCCTGTCAGACTTACTGTTGCCAGTGCGTATAGATGTCCAGAAGGGTTACAGGCTGAGTCGGGAAACTTTTCTGCAGAGAAGTAAAGAGAGAGAAGCAATTAAACCCCCAGCACAGTAAGGATCCTCCTTGGGCCCAACTCTCCACAACCTCATGACACACATAGAGAGGTGGTTGAGAAGGGGGTCTTTTTGCTCTGGGAAACATACCTGCTTGGTCCTGCCAGTACCACCCAAACTTTCCAGAGACAAGCAGGGCAAGTATTTCCACCTAAAACCCTTTAAGACATGTTGGTGAGAGGTATCTTTGAGAGACTGAAGCTGGAATGTTCCAGGTTAGCATTTATCCAGCCCCCAGCCTCTTTGGCACTCTTCATGCTTAGAGGCCATGAGACAGGACTTTTTCCACCCCTGACCTTTTAAAAGGCTTTTAAAAGTCAGGCTGGTCAATCTTCCCGGGACAGTATGAACCATAGCCGACACTGATGGCATCCAAGTGGCATGACCACAGTCCACTCATCCACTGGGAACAGACTGCACCCAAAAGTGCCAGTCCCTTAGGAGAAGCAAAGGGAACCAGGTGGAATCCAGGCCTTTGGAGCCAAGGCCAGAGGGCCCACTGTCTCTGCAAATGTCAAGAATTTGGGGTGTCAAATGCCCCAAGGAGGTTCAGTGAGCAACGTGCAGCGAGGACAGAGGGTGTCAGGGTTCTGGGCAGAGTGGCCAAGAGGCTGCATGTAGTCAGGCAGAACTCTCTGTTCACTGGCTGGACTAATCTCTTCACCTCTTCAAACTTTAGGATCCTTCCTTATGACACATGGATAAACAGCAGTACCCAGCTAGTAGGGGGCTATCAGGCCTGAATGAAATAATCTAGTCAGTGCCCAGCACAGTGAGCAGTAACATGGAGACTTTAAGTGTCACTTTCACTCTACTCCACCCTAGGCACACAGGCCTGCTCATTGTCCCTCAAATTGCCCCCATCAGGGCTTGCTAGTCTGTCCGGGATGCTCTCTCCTGCTACCTTCACAGCTTATTCTCTCTCTTCCTTCAGGTCTCTACCCAAATGTCGCCTTCTCAATGGGGTTTCCTGACCATCGTATTTATAACTGGCCTCTAACATTCCTATCCCCCTTGTCTGTCTTATTTTTATAGCTAGCACCTACTTATTACCCAACACACTATATCATTAACTTTTTTTTTATCACCTATCTGCTCCTGCTAGAATGTATGCTCCATGGGGACAGCCTACTTTTGCCGAGGCAAATGCCCCAGTGAAGAAAGGGTTCTGTCTTTTGCCCTCCTTAACTGTTATGTGATATAAATGGAATATGAAAGGCAACAGAGGTCCAGAGAGGGTTAGAAAAAGCATAGATGATGTCTTAAAACCCATCATCCTTTAGTGTCTCCAGGAGGTATTGAGAGCAAGCATCAAGACTAGACCTTCTGCTGTAGCCAAAGGGAAATTGACTAATCAGGTAATCCACTTTACCATCTTAAACCCTCCAGGGGTTTACCACTGTTCTTCAGATTGAGACTAAACTGCCTACAATAGGACTCCAGCCAGTACCCATGGGACCTCTCCAGGGACCTCTATCATCTCTGTACTCCACATTTCACACACAATGGACTTTCCCAAGGTCAATACATCTGCAACAAGTTCCCTCCCACCACAGGGCATTTGCACCTCTGCCTGGAATATACACTTCCCTTCTCTCAGATGTCAAAATCAATATTCGCTTCCTCAGAAAAACAGTCCTGGGTATCCCTGACAAGGGCAATCTGCCATCCCTGTCTTAGCACTCCATGCTTCTCATTCTTGGCACTTAATGTAGTGTTAGTTACTTTTGTGGTTCTTTGATTTATGTCTATCTCCCTTAGTAGATTTAGACTCTAAGCTCTAGGAGGGCTGAGGGACCGTGCTCACCATTTTATCACCAGCACCCTGAGCGCCAGAGTACCAGTTGCTAAAAGAATGAATGAAGAAATGACTACACCACGAGTTCGAATCCCAAAGCTGTGCGGCTCAGTTCGGATGGACTGCTAAGGGCCTGAGCTCCAGCTCAATTAGAGAGCCACAGGCCCCTTCTCTTGGCGCTCTCTTTCGCCCCGCCCCCTCTCTCCCGGGGATGGTTACAATCCACCCCTCAGACATGCAGCTTTCACTCTAAAGGGCCGCGCCTAGCCACGTGGCCCGGGACTGAGGAAACATCATCGCCGTTACCGGGAAAAGGGTGGAGGTACCGCAAGCGGGAATTATAAATCCCTGTGCGTCATATTACGTCCCGCCTGCCCACTGCATAGATGGAGAAACTGAGGCCCAGAGGGACTGGGAGCCACAGCGGGAGACAGAGGATGCGGCTCCTTCAGCACCCCTGGCCGCGTCCCCGAGCACCGCGGGATCCGACTCTGGGCACTCGCCAGGCCACCAAGAGACGGGGCGCGGGCCGCCGCTCTCCAGATCTTGCACGCGGCCCTCGCACACGCCCCGCTCACGCTTACCTGGGCGCTTTGCTCCTTCACTTCACGCGCCGCACGCACATAGCCCGCCTGCAGTAGATGCTGGTAGATCAGGGGAAGCAGTTCTCGCCTCTTCCTGGCCTCAGCCATGCCCGCAACCTGCGGCCGGTCGGCACACCTGCACGCCCCCCGTCAGTCCCCGCCCGCCACTTCCCTCGTGCCCTTAGACCTCGCACACCCCACTTCCGGCTCTTTAGCCCTGGCCGCGTGGCACGCCGGGAAACGTAGTCTTATCTCCTGTAGTAGGCGGCCCAGCCCCGGCGCGTGAAAGGGGCGGAGGCTCGAAAGGCAACGAGCCCTCCCATTGGCGGGGAGAGGGCGTGTTTAGACCTGGACTCGCCCCCTAGGCCGGCCATGATAAGTACGACTCCTAAATTCTTCGAACTTCCTCCTTGAACTTTAAGGCTTAAAGGGATTTGTTTTCTGTATTAGCTGTCTGATGGCTGTAATTGGGTTTTACTTAACCTCTGAACATCCTAATCTGAAGCTTCTTCTAGACCCGAACTTCCAGTTACCAACTCATTTATTCATTTCACTCTTTTTCAGAACCCATGAACCAGAAGCTACTTGTCATCATTCACTAAACAAATCGTTATTGAGCACTGTACCTTGAGCTAGCGCGCGACTAGTAGGATGGGGGGCGGGGGGAGGAGATAAAAAGACGATTAAGACATGGCGGCTGCCCTCAAAACTCACAAGGATGAGAGACACGGTAACCAAGCAACTATGATTCAATGCTTTCTGTGCTTTGTCGGGGACAGGCAGAGCCTATGGGAGCAGGGACAAGAGGGACCTAACCCCGAAGAGACATCTAATCTGAGGCTTAAAGATGGAGTAGGAATTTCTAGATGCAGAGGAGAGGACGGGCGTCCCAGACAGAGGGCACTGCCTGAGTATAGACAGGAGTAGCCATACATAAGCTGGTAAAGGTTGATAAACCCAGACATAGAACCCAATCTGTGCTGCTGGGCTGTAGAGTTGCGCGGGGTGGGGGGTGGGGGCGGGAAGAGCTGGGGGTGCTGGTAGGGGGAACGGATGAGGACGCACGGGGATGGAGAAGTAGACAGGGCTTACAGCACCCTCTCACCCACCCACCAGAGTATGCACTATGCTCCGAAAGCAATAGGTCATCTTTGACTAGCGTTATGCAGGAGGGCGGCCTGTGTTTGTGTTTTTAAAAGAATGCTATGACCCAAGTGTGGAGGGTGGATTTGCAGAGAAAAAAAAAAAGAAAAGAAAACGAGGTTTTTGTAATTGTTGAGGGGAAGTTGGCAGGGAGAGGATTAGCTAGGCTAGGGAATATTTTAATGAGCCGTTCTTAACTTCATGGACCTGTTGAGAATCTGAAGACAGCATGAACCACCTAGCCTTTGCTCTAGAAAATTTTGTATGTTTACAGACATGTAACATTTTCCATCACATATCATGACATACTTGAATCTCCTAGGGTTAGAAATGCTCCAAGAAGAAACAGAGACAGGACCATGTGACTGATTGAGTGCAATGAATGAAGAAGAGGGAGGAGACTAATCTATATTCAGCCATTTAGCAAATGTTTATTGAGCACCCACTACTGAGAATTAAATAGTCTCTACCCCAGTAGAGCTTATAGTCTAATGGGAGAGACACATGCTAAAAAATAGCCATACCAATCAATTGTTACAGTGAGTAAGTGCAGAAAGGAAAAGGATGGTGTTTATTAGAGTTTAAAAGCTGTCCTGCAGTCACATTTCCAGGGTTCAAATTCTGGCTTTGCCTCTTATTAACTAAGTGACTTTGAGTAAGTTATATAACTTCTCTGTGCCTCAGTTTCTTCATCTGTAAAATAGAGATAGTTATAATTCTACCTCATAAAATGGTCACGAGGAGTAAATGAGTTCTAAGTGGAAATACTCAGAAGAGCTGCTAACAATAGAGCTGTGTGTACGTATGGGTGTATGTTAGCCATTATTATGAAAAGATTTATAATCTTTTATAAATCTTTTCATATGATTTATATGAAAATAAATCATAAGATTTATTTTATATGAAAGGAAGGAGGCATCTATCTTTTCTTGGGTGTTAGGCAAGGATTCTCTGAGGAAGTACTGTTTGTGAGGGAATCTTAACTGTGTGTAGGGGAGGATGGGGGTGAAGGAAGAACCCATGTAAAGGGCCCGAGGCAGAAGCTACAGCTGAGACGAGACAGGTAAAGTCCTTTGTAGAGAGAGCAGGGGGACTGGGGAGTATAGAAGGTGGGCAGAGGGTAGATTCCACATTAAGGATCTTTCTCTTCATCCTGAGAGAGATAGGAAGCCACTGACGGTGTAGGCCCGAGAGGGACAGGATGATGTTTGAATTTTAACGTGACCTGTGTGAATGCCCAATGGAGAGTGGAGTAGTGTGTGTATGAGTAGATGTGGGAAGACAAGTTGGGGTTAAGAGTGCAGGCGGGCATCCAGGGAGAATATAATGAGGGTAGCAGTGGAGTTGGAGAGTGGTGGAAGGTTTTAGAATTATCAGGAAGTAAAGTCACAGAGATGTATAGGAACGGAGGGTAAGGGAGAGGGAGTGTGGGAATGGACTCCAAGGTCTCTGTGCAAGCAGGCAGGCGGTGACTTTCACTGAGACAAGGAAAACTAGAGAGGCCTTGGATGGGGGTTTGAGCAAGGAGGGGAGGGCGTTGAGGGGGACATGAAAAGTACAAGTTCCACTCTAGACATGTTGAGCTTGAAATGCCGTTGGGACACTGAGTGCAAATGTTGAGAAGGCACTTGGAAGCCTAGGTTTGGACTTACATGGAGATGGGGAGTGGTCTGTAGAGAGATGATAATCGAGACTATGGATGATGATGGTATTTCCCAGGGAGAAGAATGTGGAGAGAGAAAAGAAGGTGGCCCAGGATGGCGCTCTGAGGGAAGGAAGGCAAGAGAAGAATTTCAGGAAAGTGGGAAGAGTCCCTGGTGAATGCTCAGAGGTTGGACGGGATGGGGCTGGAGCTACTGGCTTTGGTTTAATGATAGGCATGGGAATTGTTGGTGGCTTTAGGGAGTGCTACTTCTGTGGAGTGATGGAGAAGGTCAGATGGCAGTGGTCTGATGACTAGGAGGGCCGAGGGAGGCAGTGGGTCTTTGAGAAGTTTTTGTGTAAAGGGGAGGAGAGAGCTGCTGTGACAGAGTCCAAGTGCGTGTTGGGGGAGGTGTGTTATCAGGTAGAAGAGACCTGAGTTTGTATAAAGGCTGATGGCACATCAAGGGGAGAGAATTAATGAAGGGTGTAGGAAACGGGAGATAATCAGGGAGCGATGTTCACGAGCACATGCAAGGGGATGGGATCAGGCGTGTAGGTGGAAGGGTTGGTCTGGAAGAGGAGGAGGGATGACTTCTCCAGAACCAAAAGAAGGAACAAAGAGAGAACGGGTGCAGATGTAGATGTAGGTTTGTAGTGGGATGTTAAGGGAGATTTCATCTTGAGCTTCTATTTTTTCCATAAAGTGGGAGGCAAGGTCTTCTTCTGAGAGCAAGGAAGATGTGGGGAGGAGTTTGAGGGGAGGAGGACAATGAGCATTCGGAGAGTCTAAGAGCAAACGTGCCCACGAAATCCCCACTTGCCTGATAGTGTGGAGGAGTTTGAGGGGAGGAGGACAATGAGCATTCGAAGAGTCTAAGAGCAGACGTGCCCATGAAATCCCCACTTGCCTGATAGTGTTATCAACCTTGTT